AGAGACAGTACAGAAAGTGCTCAGTTCAAACCTACTCCGTTTTTATTCTTGTTTGTTCTATTTATTTATTTATCAACATGTCCTTATTAGAGATTAACTATTATTATCAAAAACCAACAACTTGTGAAACACAAGGTCAACCAATTAACATTCCATATATATATATCACCGTGTTCCATTCTATGTCCACATTACGAATATAGAATCACAATTTTGATAGGTGTCTAAATGACTTTGAAAATCAACATTCTAAAACAAGAAATGGAGTTTCTTATTCTATTTTGATTCAATTAAAGATAACAAATCACTGGATTGTCTATTATTTTATCAATTTGTATTCTATGTAGTCTATTGAATAATATTGAAAAACAAAAAGCGATAAAAGTGAAGGTGTAAAAGTGGTCTGTACTTTTCCAAGAATTCTATTTATGGAAATATTGTACTCGTTGTGTACAATACGCAGATAATAGTAGAGAACGATTTGGAGATACTTGTTTCCAAACTGTCTCCAATATTCATTTCATCTGTTCTCCGTGTGCCTAATAGAAGTGTTGGGTCACAGCGTACCAAGAGAAGGAACGAAGGAAGGGTATATGAAAAGTACCAAGAATCTGGATAGAGGACTACGAACCAATTTACAAAGACAATAATCCATGGAGATATCGAGTATTCATGGCCTCCAAACGTGCCTGGGACCTCATCATTTTCACTTCACATAAACTACTAGTATTTCACACAACAAATATCATGAATTGAATTGAATTGAATTGATTGGATTAGTTAATCAGGTGTGGGAGTTCGTTATTGTTGAGTGAAATGATAGCACCCGAAAAACTCGTATTGATGGTGTTGAAACGCCTCCAAGAGCACGTGACAAGACGAGTTGAATATTGATTGTACTTGGAGAAGAAGTATACGATTGTTGATGAAGTGTATCCACAAGGAAGACTGGTTTTCCGCAGCTTAGGAAGAATGAGAGGTTAGTGAAGAGCCGAAGGACGTCAACGAAGAGTTCGGTGGAGGTGTCTGTGAAAGAACCGGTTGAAAGTACTGAAGATAATCGGTTAAAAGAAGAAGTTGTGCAGATACAGAGAGAAGAAGAATGGAAGGGCTCTTGTAAGAAGTTGAGAGAGGACAGTGAGAGAAAACAGCCTGAGATAATCCCAATAAAGGCAGAAATGAAGAAGAAGAAGAAGAAGGAGAAAGAGAGCGAGAGCAGTATATTGATGGTAAGTTGTTTGGAGCAAAATGTTGATTCTCCCTATGGTAAACGATTTTTCGATTTTTCAATTTTGTGTGGTGTAGAGGAAATAAGAAAGAGAATGCAAAGAAGACATTGGGAAACTCAAATTCGACAGGAATATATAGTTTTGAAGCGGCTGTGAAAGAAGAATGGTGTGCAAATAAGAATGAAGCCAGCTTAAGTATGAGTGTGAAGAAGACGATGGATAGTGAATATATGAGTGAAGATAGTATGGAAAATATAGTCAGTGATGACAAAGAAGACTTGAAGGTTTTGTGTGGTGATAGGGAGAGGAAGCGAGAGTGCGATTCATCAGAGAGGACGAATACCGTCCAACAGAAGAATGTCCCACCGTATAAGAAGGTTCATTCTGAAATGTGGGATAAGAATGCGAATTTGGATATACCACTTGATTTGGTGGATGAGGGGTCGATTTGTAGTAAATTGAGCCCAAATTGATCCGACAGTATATTTGCCTTCCCATCTGGGAAATTGAACACCGATTTATGTGCTTTGTCTTATCATAGGGAAGATAGAGGGAATGGGTGGGAGAGTTGTAGGATGCGATGGGAGTACTCGAATTCGTTGGAAATGACCACTTTTGGAGGAGATATGGTATCACACATGCTGACATGGAAGCATCCTCTAGAAGGAAGGAGGGAAAGAAGGAGTCTATAAAGGATCTGGCGCTGTTGTTTACTCCATCAAAGACAGAGATAAGGAGGCGAGGTACAGTACCATATAGAATGATTGAGAGTGGGTAGAGAAGAGTACAAGAAGCTGAAACCAATTCTGGAAGCCAAGAAAGAAGAACGAAGAACGAAGAACGAAGAACGAAGAACGAAGAACGAAGAACGAAGAACGAAGAAGAAGAAGCAAGAGGCGAGAATGAAGGAGGTTGATCTAGAAACCAAGGCATCGGAGAAGAAATCACAGACAGAGAAAAAGGGAGATAAAGGTACTTGCATTGTTTCTACGACTGCTTCGACGACTGCTAATTCGACATTTTCGACTGCGGATTCTGGTGACGCGTGTCAAGTTTCTACTCATATCGCTGTGGACAGCCCATTTCGCCCATATCTATTGTGTAAGGACCCGGTGGATTTGAGAGGCTCGCTACGTGGCTTTGGTGATTGCAGTGTTATTCCGAGAGGATCCTTGGGACGGAGGGTCATTCAAAGAATTTATTGTTCAGACTGGAGAGATATTGTTAAGGGTTCGATGAGAAATGGTTTTGGCTCTGTGTGTTCCTCGTCTGGGGAGAATCATGGTTCGGATAGCCATGGGAGGGATAATTGGGTCCCGAACACAGGAAGGAAGGACTGTGAGGAAATCCAGACACCAGGTATTGGTTGTGAGAAGTTCTTTGGGGAGAGGAGTGAGTTGGTTGTATGTGAGGAACTAGCAAAATTTTTGCAAAGCACTCACTATGATCGGCTTACTCTTTTTGGTATCTGGAGCAGAGGGATAGCAAGCAGACCCAAGAGGTCGGCTACTGGGAAGAAGTCCAAGGCCGGAAGGTACGGACGTAACAGGCGGTCAACGGCCCGCTCAAGATCTCCTGCAGGTCAATGAATTGTTTGTTTGTTTGTTTGTTTGTTAACCCTAACCCATGATCAACAGGCTTTTAATATGGTTGTTCAAAGCAATACCTCAATTAAACTACTTCTTTTACCAGATCACTTGTTTTCTTCTGGAGCAGTGTTTTTTAAAAAGCATTCATACTATTGGGACAAAATCAGGAAAACTCAAATAATGATGCATGATAATTATATCGTTGGAAGTAAAAACAAAATATACCGATTAAAAGAATTGAAGCTCTACAAATTAGATGTAGATGGGGAATATAGTAACCCAGATGCAAAGTATCTGACAATAGAGAAATGCAGTACGTGTTATTTTACCATATTATTTAGATACTGTAAATGAATTATCACTTGCTGTTGTACTGGCAAACAGATTGAATCGATCTCTCATTATTCCTCCTTTTAAATGTGCAAAAACCAGAAAGTTTTGTACACTGTGCCAATTCATTCCAACGCATTGTGGGCATCATATTCTCAAGAATGCACGTTTACCTTATAAGGAATCAGTAGGATTTATTATTGCATATTTATCATAG